AAGTTCTGAATTCACTGAAACGAACATAACACGTGACTTTAGCATTTCTCAGTTTTATTCGGCAAAGCTCATTACTCACATAGAGTATTATAAAATCCTAGATATCGGTTAGATGATCTGTGGTGATCACTCTTTCAGTGAATTCAGAACTTTAAAACGCTCCCCTGTAAACTTGGCAATTTCGACATACGATACTTTACGTAGGAGGGGTCGATTTATTCATTTTAAATGCGGAAAAAAACGCGAAACTCAAAGAACTTGACATTTTAAATATCATTACCCATATATTACTTACCCAAAAGACTGGGTAGTTTATTCTGGTGACAACTGGTGACGTAGCTGAAGTAGTGTGGTGCGAATTCCAGAAACTGCTGCCATTCTGGCTTGGTCATTTCCTTTAGCACGTATCTGTCGTCTGAAATCACAGTCCGTAGAATACGTGAGCTTCCCGATGTTCCTACTGCTAGACTAGTTTAACTTTAGTTACTTCCATAGTATAATGTCCTACGGGATTCTCATGTGGGGTAAAGCGGCAGATATACAAACCATATTTGTAATGCAAAATGAGTGATTCGTTCTGTGTACCGTTTAGGTTCTCGAAGTTCTCTCAGAGAAAAGTTTAAGGAGACTGGTATCATGACTGTGGCATCACAATACACTACTCAAATATGTTATATGCCCGTAAAAATATACATAACTTCTATAAGAAAGATGATATCCATAATATTAACCTTAGAATTAAGTTCAAACTCATGGTACCACGATTTCGTTTAACTAAGTCGTTTACCTTCTTTTATGGGGAACTGTATACGTTTTTACAATAAGATTCCGGAGCATATGTATATTAAGATTATCATTTCCTAAGTACTTTCATTTCCTAACTTACATTAAAATTGTTTTAATTGAAAAGTCATATTACAAAATTGAAGAGTATGTTTTAGATAAAGAAATATGGAAAGACAACAAGTGTCTAGTTCCACACAAATATGATTCAAAAAAATCTATAGCAATTAAGTTTATTTGAAAAGAGTTTGCTGCTTGCTCGTTCTTTTCAGGGAGGTCAGCGTAGTAAACGAGCAGTAGCTTAAAAAATGACGTTTTCTAGTGTAAAAATGTTACCGGAATAATTTATTATTTGACTTTGTCATGAGCACTAATCAATTATCACCCGCTTTACTTAATTGCAAGTCGGCGCTACGTTGGCGTTTAGTCTTACTGAAGACTTAGTAGTATTTAGTATACAATTTGATTGATATTGATTCTAATTCAGTTTTTTATTGAATATCAGCAACACCACCATGGAATTCAATTATTTTTTATGAAATTACTCCACTACTTTGTTATAATTAATACAAATATCAAACACTCAGAAAAAATTCCATTGGTCCAGCTGGATTTGAACCAACGTCTTCTAGCAAACCGTGCCAGATGCTATGTCAACTAAGCCACGGAACGAACCAGCGGATCTTACGAATATTTCTAAGCGCTTTTGTTTTGGTTTATTAACGATTTTTTAGCCGTAGCGCCATCTGTGAGAAATCTATTTCCACACACAGCCAGGTACCTTTTCAGCTACCAGCAGCTGACTGGAGATGATATAGATTCTACAAATTATTTTAAACTGTTGGTCAGAGTGAGAAGCAGCACCAACAGGTATGTAGTTTAGGGGGATAGCGAAGAGGATGGACAGTCCAATCCTTAAGTATCGCATGTCCATTCATGTTCATCATAATCTCAGTACAGAGTACTAAAAAAAAAACGACCTCAAAAGTACGTGGAATTACATATATTTGCCAAGTTTTATTGAAATATCCCCTAGTTCGCCACTATACAAGACTTGACACTGGAGATAATAAAAATCGGTTCTCACTACTCAAAGTATTTTGAGAGACAAAAATGCCTTGAATTGGAGAATAGCAACCAACCATTAAAATAATTGCTCCTTAAGTAAAATTTAGGCGCTATTTATAAAAATGAATGTTCATGCGTGATCAGCGACCATTAGAGGTGGATGATTTTCTTTAAAATGAAATGGGACCACTATGGAGGTACCCTCTTTTCAACAAAAAAAAGAATCATGAAAATCGGTTCACAAATACCGGAGTTATCGCGTAACATACATACAAAAAAAACACAGTCGAATTGAGAACCTCCTCCTTTTATTGAAGTCGGTTAAAAATGAACCTTTTGCATTATACTAACGTAGTTGTAAGCGCCTACTCACACTATATGGACTATATGGTAAGTTGTCTGAAACAAATTCTTTCGTTTCTTTCTTTTTTAATATTGAAGTATTTGCCTTTGTTGTTTCAAAGAAAATTTCCTTTGATCCGGCTGGATTCAAACCAGCGCCGTCTTGCCAGACCGGGGCTTTATTTAATTACCTTTGGTTTTACAAAACGTGGATCCAGATTTCCCGCCCTTGGCGGCCCACGGCACGCAATATGCCAGCGACCTTATGAACCCTTCTTCAATATCACACAGGCTTTTATCTGAAATACGAAAACAATTATGTGAAAAAGAAGCAACACCTAGGGCACAGAAATCATTAAAAAAAATTACATCTATTCGAAATTATAATCTTTTTAAATAGACGATCTCGGTGCATTGTGGGCGCTGCATGAGGAGGCCCCGTGTTAGATTTAGGTCCCATAGGGTTTGCATTAATATTAGACTAACGTGACCATAATTTTTTTCCGTCAGAGCGAGACGTCCGTAAATTTATTATTGTTTATTTAAAACACACGTTAAAAAATAGAACTAAAAAAGTTTAATGATCAAAAATTAAAAAATATCTTTTAATGTTGTGTAGTCTGGTGGGTTGACTTTATATATATTTTTCGTTTTCGAGCCATTTAAAAAAAATTATTGTCACGTATGTCCTGTTTTGTCAATGCGGGATATTTTTAGTATTTTGAGGGCGCGTGGCACTAAGCTTAAAAGCGGGACTGTCCCGCTCAAATATGGACGTATGGTCACGCACGTTACATTAGTCATAACTGAACATGACATAAATATAAGACTGTAGATGACATAATTATTTACGTGTGCATCCTCCATCGCCGACCTCATCATCACTCCCACTTCTAAGATTTAATTGATGATTAGCTTTATGATGATTGTATAATAATTAAGGTTACTTTTTCTTGGATTATTTTAATATATTTTTAAATAATATTTTAACTCGTTTGTGGTGAGAATATCAACCGCACATCTGTCAGCCTTGAAGGAAGAGTTTTGGCCGAAAGGTATTTGTATTGTCGTACATCGGCGATTCCGCGGCCGGTGCTTGGCACCAGATTGCGCCACACGTCGCCGACAAGTGAAATTCGTGTAGAGTAGTTATTTAGCTTATTATATTGTTATATTGTAGGTATATTAGTCCTTAAGGTATACATTATAAGGGTCAAGTGGCCTGAAATAAATTACTAAATAAAAAAATAAATATTATCGTGGCTTGTTTACATTTGTTTTACTAATTTCATAAATTAATTTTTATTACTGAGTATTTAGTTTTTTATTCTTTACCTTAAAAGGTAATCCATGTAAGAATTTTTTTCAACCAATTAATAATTTATTTCTCTTATTTATTTTTTTCTTCTGAGCGTCTGCAGAGATCTATTGAAAAGTTTAATTGTTAACTTACTTATAGAACCTTGTAATTGGCCATCTATAAAATAAGAATAACCATAAGATAAACCAAAAGAATAAAAATAATTTAACTGCCTCTGTGGCCGAACGGTTACCATGCCGGATTGCCATGCAGAGGTCCCAGGTTCGATTCCCGGGCCGGGAGAAATATTTGTATGGCCTACATTTATTTGTCTCGTGAGTTTGGGTGTAATTTGTAATTGTCTATTTGTGTGTCCATGGCACCCGCGACACAGGGTTTCCCTAGTGCGGGGCTATGTCGAGTGAGTGCGTGTAAAAAAAAAAAAAAAAAATTTATTATTGTAACTATTTATATACTTAGCTGTTAGTGTAAGGGCAGAATAGCGACTCTGTCCCTAGAGGATGTTACCTTGCGGTCGCAACGCGGCAACCGTTATCACGAGATTGTTTTTGAAGTAGTTAATAATAAATAAATAACGCACACAATCAACAGCGGGGCTACCCGCACTAGGGAAACCCTATGTTGCGGGTGCCACACACACATAGACAGCCACAAATTAAAGCCAAACTCACGAGAGAAATAAATTTAGGCCATACAAATATTTCTCCCGGCCCGAGAATCGAACCTGGGACCTCTGCGTCTGTCTAGAATTAAAGAATGTTACAAATGTAAAAGTAATGATGTTTAATTAAAATTAAAATATTGTAAATGTTTTAAATATGTTAATGTTAATGATGGTGGTATCTAGCAGTATTAAAAATACCATAAAAGTCTTGATACCATTTACCGCATCAACAAAATAAAACTAGAACTAGACCATGTCAATGCAGCAGATCATTCAATGTTGTACGTAACCGTAGAGTTAGGTTCCAAAGTAACGCACACATAACGCACACACTCAACATAGCCCCGCACTAGGGAAACCCTGTGTCGCGGGTGCCATGGGCACACACATAGACAACCACAAATTACACCCAAACTCACGAGAGAAATAAATGTAGGCCATACAAACATTTCTCCCGGCCCGGGAATCGAACCTGGGACCTCTGCGTGGCAGTCCGGCATGGTAACCGTTCGGCCACTGAGGCAGTTAAAGTATGAAATAAAAATAACAATAAAATAATTCCTACTTACTTTCATTTTTCTCCTTGCCGTCTTCGCAGGAGCATCTGCTGTCGTGAGCGCTGGCCTCGCTGGTCTGCGAGGCGAACTCGTCCACGATGTACGGGTTCGACGACAGCGGAGCGAGTAGCGTGTGGCGAAGTTTATGGAACTGTGAGGCGTAGTACACGCGACAGACTAGGCCGTCCTGTCGACAGAACAAACGTTAAGGTTCATCACACATGCTCACTACTTACGTATTAGCACAGTTTTACAAACCATACAGTTGGCAAATAATGTACTTGCACAGAGCAAAGGCGGGGCACTCGACGGGAGACGGGCAGAGCGGGTCGCCATTTTGAAACTTTGAAAAACAATGACAGAAAAGGTGTCTATGTATTACACTAACAAAAAATATTACACACGAAAGTCGCCTGTTCAACTTTGAACATCGTGTATTTAACAATAAAACGCAAGATCGTAACATACATTTGAACTGTCACAAACATAACATAGTAACATAATTAACTACAGAAAGAACTTCGTCGGCCACCAACACACATAGCACACTAAGAAAAACTTATCATAATGTAATCTATAATAATAAAAATTATATAGTAAGTAAGAATTGTAAATATAATCAGTTAACCACTACCATCTGATTTTAACTCATCTCCTGCTAAGTGACGTACTACCCGCTACTCGTCTCACTGTGGCCAAGGCATCTCTAACCGTCAGTAGATCGGTCTTGTGAGTCTGCTTGACCGGCAGTTAGAATACCATTCCAGTACACATTCCACGACGTGTACTTCCTTACCTCCTACCTTAGGTCTCCTGGTGACAGACTTCCCGTTTGTATCTTGCATATATATTTCTCCGTTGATATATTTTATGGTTAGGTTAGGCTACACACCGCAGGTTGTAGGGCTACACTAGATAAATCGTAGGGACGACCTTTGAGGTCTCACCGTTATTTATTTATTTATTTATTTTATTTATTTATTTATTTTAAACACTAAGAATATTACAAAAATATATATACATCACATTAGGTTTAATAGGTAGTTTTTTTTATCTTGACTTTACTATAATTTCATGCATAGCAGGCGGTTGGTATTTGCTGCATACAACACCACACACTACATTGACAGACAAGCACTACCATCACATGAATACCTAACCGCATGCTGTTCATTTTGGTCCTTCGAGCCGGATTCGAGCCTTGTAAAGCCTTCGAAATAATAAACATTTAATTTACCTGACATTACTTACCTTAAGTAAAACTTCAATATGGTCATTATTTCTCGCCTTGCTCTTGTCCGCGTCGGTTTTCTCTTTCGTGTTTAGATTTTCAGTGTCTTCCAAATCGGAGTGAGTGTTTTTATGCGACGCCAATGTTCGTTGGTACGTCACTGACGCCAGGGTGGCAGCTATCACGGAACCAATCTCGCCCGCCATTACAACCACGGGAACTAATCCGCTTGAAATTATCATGCCGCTCTGGTGATAACAGATATAATAATAAATAAGTTTTAGTAGTAATAGAACTCCCTGTGAAAGAGTTTGTCCAAGGAAGTAAGAAGGGTGCTGGTGAAATCACTGACACATAGGACTTGTCAACTTATGTGTCACGGCGAAATAATTTCAGCTCATGATCAATATTTCAATAATATTACAAGGAAAATAAAAATTTGATGTCTAATATTTCATATCAGAGGGATTAATTGATACCTACGTCCATTTACATAACATAAACTAGTTACAGTCTATCGCTCAGCGCCATCTGTATACAAGACGAAATTTTAATTTTGCAGTAAGGAGATTAGCGGTGACTAAAGAATCTTTAGTCTTATGGTAAAGATCATTTTTTTACCTTTTAATTTACTAAATTATATTAACTACCTATTTATTACAGTACTCTTTAATATGGACTTTAACTAATAATAATAATTCCCCAGAGACACGGAAAAAGTTTCAATAATTTTTGATATCGGGTACTTTTCCTGTTGATACCTTTCATTGGATACATTTCCGGTATTAGTACTTTTAGACAAGTACCGCATCGTATCTTTTCAAATACTTTCTACTTCGGAAATCATTATAAGAATGAGAATCATTGACTTACAATTATATGGACGTCGGGTCCGCGCTAAAAAGTGTCCGCACTTGTAAGGCGATAAAATCGTATACAGAGCGCCAAACTCCGCTTTAGTCTTCATTTGTTCGACTGACAGCGCGATACTGCGATGACATTACAATTTAAATTTCGAATAGGTTGACTTGGGACATTTTTTTCGTGGTTTATGTATTAGACCCGTCGTCCATTTATTTGTAAGTCAATGATGAGAATGAAGAAAAATAATTAGAAACATTTCAATTGACATTTTTCATTTCTCCGTTTTCGTTTCGTAATCGTTTCTGAGTGTCAGTTACGTGTAAAAAAATCTGCAGGACAAAAGTATGGATACCTTGAGGTATCCATACGTATACACATACACACCAAACCAATTACTTGGTTAGGTTGCCTGGGGAATTATTTTTCCTCCACCTCATCCAGCGCCTCTACAGTATAAACCATTACGCCACGATGGTATAATACATGCACAATTTTCGGTGAACAATCAGCTGGTACTAATTTCACTGAATTATCTCTTAACGTATGTGCTTAGTGGTGAGATAAGAACTAAAAAGTTCTCCATATGGTTCTAGGAAACCTACACTGACCAATGGGGTTTACGATGATAGACGGTGTTTGATAAAAAACACCATACCTGATTCGCAGTCTGGTTGTTCGATAGCAGTTGCGAGAGGATCTGTCGCACAGTTTTCTTGTCGGCTTTCTCTTCGTCCTCTTCAGCGCCTGAACAAACAGTTTCATTTAATCCATTTTATCATTTGTATATATCCAAAAATGGAGAGTAGAGAATCAACGTACCATGTTCTTTTTCCAATTCCTTCGAAGTGTTATCTGTAAAAACGTATGTCGTTCCTGATTAATTTCAAAACATTAGTCGAACCAATTTATTCAATCAATCCTTCACTGCTGTCAGACTTTGGAACGCACTTCCCATTACTGAGAGTATATCTTTAGCTTTTTTTTGGAAATGAGAATTAAGGAGCATTATTTACCCACTGTTCCATCCATACATTTTATAGATGTTATATTACGAAATATGTATTTATCTACATACTTATATAGTTTATAATAATTTAATGTTACTGATATTGGTTTTTTATAACATTATTTTTGTTTTTTGTGCATGTTAACCCGCTTTTTGTAATTATTGTGTCCTGTATTTTGTTCTGCAGGAAGAAATTTGACATAAGCAGTACCTTTAGTCTGTGTTTTCCTTTTTACTAAATGTGATTTGTTTTTTCGTATGCAATATATGATAAAATAATCATTTATGGTCATGAAGGCGTTAAAATAATGAATTTTGGATCAATGTAATCTAAAGCTTTACGGCACTCAAAGTTTTCAAAGTTTTTGCGTAGTTTTCATGCAATCATTTGTAAATACAGTATAATCATGCTGTCCAATGAATCGCAACCTAATACTAATAAAACTTAATCATTCAAATTATTAAGACTGGGATTAAGGGGTTTCACCATTTTTACCAGCCCCCTTACCCTTCGAAACCAGAACGCAGTAACGGTCACATTATTGCATGGCGACAGAAATAGGTTCCCGGGACGAAATATTTCACAAGCTCTATTGTTACTAAATTTCATAAATAAGTAAGAATAATAATAATCATGCACTCCCTCCTAACCCCGTACTAGGGAAACCCTGAGTCGTGGGTGCCATGGACACACATAGACAACCACAAATTACACCCAAACTCACGAGAGAAATAGGCGATACAAATATTTCTCCTGACTCGGGACTCGAACCCTGCGTGGCAGACCAGCATGGTAACAGGTCGGCCGTGGAAGTAGAAAAAAGTGATAAGTAAATAAAGATTTTGTTGAAATAGGGTTCATATTGTAATAGGTGTTTATCATATATAAGAAAAATGTGTGTTTGTAGCATTGACTTACAATTATATGGACGTCGGGTCCGCGCTAAAAAGTGTCCGAACTTATAGGGCGTTAAAATCGTATACAGAGCGTCATTCACGCTTTAGTCTTCATTTGTTTCTTCAGACAGCGAAGTAAGCAAAATTAGACAGTACTGCGATGACATTACAATTTAAATTCAACGTTTTAGCTTTTTCATATTCCTTTACATGTCACTACGTTTAAATAGGTTGACTTGGGACATTTCTTTCGTGGTTTTTGTATTAGACCCGTCGTCCATTTATTTGTAAGTCAATGGTTTGTAGAGCAATTTTTTCATTATGTTATTATTTATTTACTTGTGTTATGGGATACTATTTTCTGTACTGTGCATGATGCAATAAATAATTAAAATCAACAATAAACACTACCTGAGTCCGTGCCTGCGTCTCCAGAGTCTTCGACGTCGGATTTTTCTTCCACTAGAAAGAAAAAACAATACAACAAATTCAATCAAAAAATCTAAATCTATCGTGCCTCAAACTAGTCTATAGTTAATATAAAAACAGGGCGCACGGCAGTGTATAGGCGAAGTTGCTTACCGATGGTGTCGGGCAGGGGTTTGTTGGGCTTGGCAGGTGGGCTGGTCCACATGTCGTTAGCGTCGCGTAGCATCTTCTCGCCTGCGATTATGCGGTCGGACACACTCCACAAGCTGCGCACCACACCTGTGACGGATTTCATCATCTTTATCATTAGAATGAAACCGTTTTTTTGTAACCTATTAATTATATTTCACATACTTATCTCGTTCTTGGTACAAGCCTGTTATAATATATTGTGTATTAAGGACGTCCAATAAGAAATTTATAACGCGAGTTTGTTAGAAGCCCGAAGCCAAAGGTTGAGGGCTTTAAAGACTCGAGATTTGTAATTTTTACTACCCGTGCTACATACAATATTTTTCATCACATTTGCGAGGACCGATAATTCATTTCTTGTGAGAATAAATATCGCTTCACAACATAACACTTTTTACTGATTTTGCACATGGCGGGTCTTTTGTTTTTTTTTTTAACAGATTATTATATAAGAGAGGTATTCTTCCATAGATAATTCAACTCGAAGTAAAATGTTATAAAAGGCGCAGAAGCACGCAGCTACAATGTATTAGATATAAACTAAATAATTTCCAAATGCTAAAAATACTGCAGAATTCGAATACACAAAATAAATTTAGTAAAATATAGTTATATTGCAAATGTTTAATTTTTTTATACTTCAAGTTTATGCGAAACATATGTTAAGATTTTTCGAGCATAAATACTTTTTGCTTAATCTTGACGTAAAAAATCCATTGGGTATAATCATTGACTTACAATTATATGGACGTCGGGTCCGCGCTAAAAAGTGTCCGAACTTATAGGGCGTTAAAATCGTATACAGAGCGTCATTCACGCTTTAGTCTTCGTTTGTTCGACTGACAGCGAAGCAAGCAAAATTAGACAGTACTGCGATGACATTACAATTTAAAAGCTTTTTCATATTCCTTTACATGTCACTACGTTTAAATAGGTTGACTTGGGACATTTTTTTCGTGGTTTTTGTATTAGACCCGTCGTCCATTTATTTGTAAGACAATGGGTATAATGTAATTAAAAAGCCCACGGCAATAATTTAGGATATTACGGTCGACTTTGCCAGCATGTCATGACACTGTTGACAAGCAAGTGTGCTGAAAAAGACAAGGGGCATCTGTTACATGACGACAGTTACAGGCCTAAAAAAAATTAAATGAATCGGTTCCTGAGGTAACTGCGCGGTGCGGGAGGGGTGACAGTTTACGTTACAGTTTGATTGAAAAAAGTGTCAAATGTTTTGTCTATTCAATTCATATATCAATGAAATAGTTTTTTTTTTCAATTATCGTTTCCAATAACAACAATTAAGTAATTTGGTAGGCACTTTTTTCAATCATATTGCTATTGACTATCGTCAGGAAAATCTTGTTGAAATTGTCTCGTGTGCAGCGCGACATCAATATTTTAGTAGCAGCAGAGGTCCTTGTGAAAGAGTTCGTCCGGGGTAGTACTGTCACCTTACCTATTTCTGCCGCCAAGTAGTAATGTGATTACTCCGTTCCGGTTTGGAAGGGTAAAGGTGCTGGTGAAATTACAGGCACATGGGACTTGTCAACTCATGTCTCGGGGTGACGGGCGCAGTGGCAGTGCCCCTAAGATATTTGCGATTTAAAGCTCCGAGTGGCACTGTAACTATTATGGGCAGACGTGCAGCTTACCACCAGTCATTTGATATTATAAAATAAATGTTGTCTTCACATCTATCTACATTCTTCCGTATCACAATGTTATAATATAATAGTATATAATAGTTTACCTAGAAGACTCCAAAATTTGGCTTCTCCGTTTCAGAAACCAGTTACGTCTATTTATTCACCTGCGAGTGAAGTATGTTCTTGCAGATGCGACGAGGTAAGCGCGAGATGTAAATGCTCCATCTGCTGTTTGAACACCTGGTACTCCTTCTCCGCCTCGCCGTCCGCCACTCCGCTGAACGTTTCGTGGCCTGCCATTCAAGAGAGGTGTCTCACAGAATACTTCATAGCTGCTTCTACAATAGCCACTAGTGCTGGGCCAAATAATTTTCCTGTTTATACTCGTAGCTGCATGTCGGAGCTTGCATGTCAAAGGAGGTTCACGACCCTTGAAAGCGTGTGAAGTTCCCAATCCGCGCTGGAGACTTAAGGTTTTTTTTACTGCTTAGAGGAGACTCTTATTCAGCAGAAAGACAATGGTGCACCTTTGAGCATCAACTCGTTGAGCTGGTTGATGAGCGCGTCCCGCATCTGCTTGGTGTCGTACCGCGTGTGGATGACCTCGGGCGGCAGCTCGATCTCGAAGGTCGCCACTTTGCTGTACCTGGGGGAGCGGAAGGCCACGTGAGGCGGGTCGCGGGTCGCGGGCGGCGGGCGGCGGCGGGGGCGGGGGCGGGGGCCTCGCTCACCTGAAGCAGGCGGTGGTGAGCCGGCAGACGAAGGCGTGCGCGTGCGCGTGCAGCGGGTGCGCGCAGAGGCGGCGGCGCACGTAGCGCGGCGCGGCCATGCGCAGGCGCACGTACTGCGCCAGCGACAGCGCCAGCGCGCGCGGCGACATGCGCGCGGCGCGGCCCACGCTGCCGCACTGCTCGCAGCGCGACCAGAACATCACCTGCCCCGAAACCACAGCACCCGAACGCCTTAGCATTTTCAAAAACCGTTTGGTGAGTTGCTAACGTTCTTCGTCCAGGCGGTCCTGTTCGACGCCTGGAACTGGCGTTACATTTGTTCGCGTTTGATGTCTCTCGCAACGCCTGATGTTCGAGAAGGACATTTTATGTTTCAAATTGTCGTACAAATTATGCTATAAATACCTTTCTTAGGATGATGTCGATACGTTTCCTATTTATGGAATCTATTAAAAATAAGACACATCAGTATTCGCCATCGATGCAGAACAGCCAAAGCGTGTCGGCGGAATGAAAAACACATCTGAACCAATAGAATGCTATGACATCCCCTAATTAGGTTAAACATTACTTCTACCAATCTATAAAAGAGGATTATTGTAAAGGGCTCACCTGTTTACTCTGTTCTTCTTTCATCTTATCCATATTGCTATGACCGACAGTGTTGCACGTGATGGTAATACAAACGTCGCCGTGGACGAATCTGTTGATATATGTTATGAGAATAGTTAAAACTGTTAATGGCTCAGTGGCAAGTCCAAAAATGACGGTAAGGAACTAGAGTAGCTCGCGATTTTCAATATTGTACGGTGCTGAATGTTGGTCTTTTAAAAAGCAGCGAGAAAATGGAACGCACAGCGCGGAAATGAAAATGCTAAGATGGGCGGGCGGCGTTGCAAGACTTGACCACGTCAAAAACATCCACATCAGAAGCAGTTTTAAGTGAGGCCTATCCCGGAAAAGTTGCTAGAGAGCCGAGTTAGGTGATACGTACATGTTATGCGACGATCGCCTGATCATATGACAAGGAATGCCCTTGACATGAGTAGCTAGCCCCAGGGATGTGGTAGACCCTGCCTCACATGGATCTACTAAATTTTTTTTTCTTTTAAATAACGCACACACTCAACATAGCCCCGCACTAGGAGGAAACCCTGTGTCGCGGGTGCCATGGACGCATACATAGACAACCGCAAATTACACCCAAACTCACAAGAGAAATAAATGTAGGCCATACAAATATTTCTCACGGCACGGGAATCGAACCTAGGACCTCTGCGTGGCAGTCCGGCATGGTAACCGTTCGGCGACGGAGGCAGTGTATATCTACTAAGATCTACTAAAGCAACACAGGACAGGACAGACTGTCTTAGAGAAGAGTGACCAGAAGGGCCGACCCCAAATAAATGGGAATAAGGTCAGGCAAAAAAAAAAACAGAGGCAGACGGATCAGCGTGATGAGAACGGCTTCACAAAGGTGGTGAAGACAAAGAGGAAGCCGTCCAGCCGCAACCTGTGTGGCACAGCACCGACAGGATGAAACTTTTTGCTTTCGCTTTTAATTCGTTTGTGGTGAGAGTACCGACCGATCTGTCGACTTTCATGAAGGAGGAGTTTTGGTCGAAGGGTATCATATATCGGCGATTGTGCGGTCGGTTACCTGACACCAGATTGCGCCACACGTCGCCGACAAGTGAAATTCGTGTAGAGTACTTATTTAGCTTATTATATTGTTATATTGTATGTATGTTAGTCATTAAGGTATATATTATATGGGTTTTGGGGCCTGAAATAATTTACTAAATAAAATAAATAAAAAAGAGGTGTATTGTTTTTTATAAAATTTAAAAGTTTTGGTTGTGATCAGATAGCTCAAACTGACGATGGGCGAGTTATTTAACTCGATTAACTGGAGTTACTCCCACCGAAATTTAAAGTTATTCCCGCCGAGTCAAATACTTCATTCATCCAGCGCGTCGGCAATTCGTTCTCACTCGTTCGGTTCGGCGACCTTCGGAGCACGCTCGAGTCGCGGTCGGCACGCCGGTCGTGTCCAACTAGGTGAATCGGCGATTCGAGTTATACTCGCGACTCGCGGCTGCTCTGTCTGGATGCACCGAGTCACGAGTAACTCGAGTTGAAAAAAAAAATACAAGATTCGCTCTGGGCCTTTTGGAGGGAAAAGTGTCGTTTTTATTTTGACTTTCAATTATTTTGTGAAATCTAGTTTAAAGTGGAATAGGATAGCGCTATTGTGCCTTAATCGAAGAATAAAACGCGAAATTATACGAATCTCGAACTAAAATACCCGTATCGCCCCGTTCTAAGGAATCCCGAGTCGATCCAAACACGCCGCCTCAAATTGCCTATCCTCTTTGTGGCGGCCATATTTACAGAAACATAATTAAACGAAGACATGGCTCAAAGGACTTGTATCCAAGCCAAAATTATTAATAAAAAAAATACAACTCGTCCCATCGCTAGTTCAAACAAGTCGAATCATAAAAGTGGATAGTTTGATTAGGTCGAGTAGTTCACGTGGGTCGAGTAGCTCTTAGTGGGTGGAATAGTGTGATTCTGTGTCTGACCTGCGAATGTGCTGGTTCATAGGCACGTTGCAATTAGGCGAAGTGCATTTGTGCTCGCTGAAGCAGTACTTCTCGAGGAACGCGCCCAACGAGATGTCATGGCGACCATACATCTCCATCGTCGCTATCCTGTAAAATATTAAAAAGCTATAATAATAAAATATAAACGCCTACTTTTCTTCACCAGTACTGTATACATCTTTCTGTTTCTTTTTCTTATCGTTTATTTATGACAATACACTTAGAAAACACTGCTTATTAAATAAGGAAACATTCTAATAACAGGTCTAGTAACAAATACCACAACATACAATAGCAACAATATGATATAAAATATATAAACAGCAGTAGAGCGCCTTGTGAAAGAGTTTGTCCAGTAAAGTACTGACACCTTTTCTTTCGCCAAGCGGTAATGTGCATTACTGCGTTCCGGTTTTGAAGGGTAAGGGTGCTGGTGACATTACAGGCACATGGGACTTGTCAACTTATGTCTCAGGGCGACGGGCGCAGTGGTAGACGTCCTAAGATCTTTGCAATTTAAAAGCCTAAATTGCACTGCAACTGTCATGGATAGGTAAAAAATAAAATGGTCATTTCAAGAAATGGTCAATTCAAGTAGTGGATATTTCAAGAAATGGTAAATTTTAGAAGTGGTTATTTGAAGATGTGGTCATTTCTCATTGTGGTCCTAAACCGCCGAAAGGTCGCTTACCATCAGGAGCACGACTTGTTCGTCCTAAATAAAGTCGTACGAAATAAAGGGAATTATTTAAATGTATGTAAACCTTACAGTAACAAATGTATATAAATATATAAACATTTACATATATTACTTTATAATAAAGAATGAGCGAGTTTAAGCAATAATAATTATGTGCACTCACCAGGGGTTGACGCAGAAGTCGGGCACATTGGGCGACTTGTTGCTATAGCTGTACAGCAGTAGACTCAGCCGCTGGTGGCTCTCGGGAGCCAGCGGGTCAAGTGGCTCTTTCTGATCAGCCTGTTTGTCTGAAGACTCAAGCTCTGGCTGTTTGAGGACTTTCTTTACCACTGACGGCTTGTAGAGGGGACAGCCCTCTGAAATCCGGTAATAAAAACCAAGTTGCAATGTCAGTGATAGCGTTCATTCATACAATCACTAACGATCAATTTTGTCTTATTAAAACTACTATAGAAACTATTATGTATCAGGGTTGATGTTGATGCAGGTTTTTACACATCAGCGGATGCTAATCCGGTTGCTGATTTTCTAACCTTAACATCAGCACACGCTGATGCAGAGGCTGATTTTATGTAATAAAAAAACTAGAAACATGTACATCTTTACTGAATCCATGTACATGAAAATTCTTTTTTTTTTGTATTGTAATAAAATGTTTTTTCAATGATTTTGTGACATTTATTAACAAAAGAATCAATCTGCATGACTTAAACGTTGTGGAATTTGATCAAAGTTATGTATTAAAATTTTTATTGAATTGACATTCAATTATTTTTATGTGAAAATAAAGTCAATAAAAATTTCAATACAATGAATAGCGACATCTCTAGCCGGAGCTGGTAGCTGTAAAGGTAACTAACTGTGTGATGAAATATAATACATTTCTCATAGATGGCGCTAAAGCTGAAAAGTCGTTGAAAAACCAAATACAAAGATTCGACGCAAGCATATAGAAAAATTCGTGAGGTCCGCTGGTTCGTTCCGTGGCTTAGTTGGTATAGCGTCTGGCCCGGTATACTAGAAGACGGTTCGAATCCGGCCGGAACGAAGAAATTTTTTCTGAGTATTCGATCTTTGTATTAATAATTATAATAAAGTTATATATATTTCAAAAACAACAGCTGAGCAGCTTTTTCAACTTACAGTATTACTTCTGGAAGGTTTGTAAATTATTCCAGGGTGGCTTTAAGGTCAATTCGCGACTTAAACATCGGCAATTAATATCAGCGTCGATGAATGCGGATGCTGATATTCGCAACAGCCCTGTCTATCTATGTATATGTCAATTTTTATCTCGTTGAACGAGCAATTTTTTAACGTTTAACTGCCTCTGTGGCCGAACGGTTACCATGACTGACTACCACGCAGAGGTCGCGGGTTCGATTCTTGGGCCAAGAGAAACATTTGTATGGCCTACATTTATTTCTCTCGTGAGTTTGGGTGTAATTTGTGGTTGTCTACCTGTGTGTGTGTGTCCATAGCATCCGCGATACAGGGTTTCCCTAGTGCGGGGCTATGGGTGTGTGCGTTATTAATTAGTCTTAAAATGAAATGTATTTAAATACAATGAATAGCGACATCTCTAGCCAGGGCTCGTAGCTGTAAAGGTATGGGTGACGAAATACTTAAGATTTAGAGAAGACTCTCTCTTAAAAATATATTTCATTTAAATTTTTATTAAATTGATATTCAATTATTTTTTTATGTGAAATTGCTCCACTAGTTTGTTATAATTATTAATACAAAAAGATCGAACACTCCGAAAAAATTCCTTCGATCCGGCCGGATTCGAACCGACGTCTTCTAGCTTATCGTGCCAGACGCTATACCAACTAAGCCACGGAACGAACCAGCGGACCTCACGAATTTTTCTATGTGCTTGCGTCGTATCTTTGTATTTGGTTTTTTCAACGACCGGTAGCGCCATCTATGAGAAATCTATAAAGGTTTTATCACTCAGTTAGATATCTTTACAGTTACCAGCCCTGGCGCGAGATGTCGCTATTCACTGTATCTTAAATTTTTATTGAATTGATATTTAATAATTTTTTGTGAAATATATTTTTTCATGTCAATTAATTCGTAAACGACGTCATTGACGTGCCAAAGACTCGCCACTGAAGAGCAGAATACCAAAAAATTGCAATGGCAGTTGAATAGTGACTCGATGGCTAACTACTGGCAAGTCACTCTTAACTTGTAACAGAACAACAAACGTACAACA